TATGATAGCCTTCATGCCTGCTTATATAAGCTATAATGGTTATTGATTTACGTGATGTTGGTGCTCGATAAGTTAGGTACGGGTGCCAGTCATGCCTTTTCTGTTTGGGTGTGACAGAGGACTCACCCTTAGGGGGCTAAGTTGACCCAGATCGGCCTGGATGACACCCCTAACGTGCTAGTCTCGAAAGTCACATGTTGAAATTCATATTAAAAAACATGCATATTATGGCTAACATAATCTAGCAGGAAATTACTTGGAGGAATATTGTTGTTGCACCCTTTTTTGCACGAGTCAAAACAAGATTCAACTAGTGGTTTCCCTGTTATTGATGAAAAAGAGTCTCCACCTAATATTTAAAGGTATACTAGGGTACCTATTTATTTTTAGATTATTATCCTATTAGTCTGCTAACCGGTGATATTTGCCTAGGGGTTCTTGTTCTTCTCAGGGAAGGTGTTAGGCACACCTTAAATCTACCTAAGCTAGCTCCTTATGACATAGACTATGTTTAGGGAAGTGGATGTCTATATTCTGCTTAATTAGTACTTAAGGTCTGAAACTATTCTGAGTCTTGTCGTAAAAGTCTACTTGTTTAAAAGAGGATTGTGTATGTGTTTTGAAAACAGATTATAGGTTTATAAGATCTTGTAATTTGTAAAAAAGGAGTCTTTGAAGTGTTCATATTTACAAAAGACTTGTAAAATGTGGCTATGTTTTAAATATTTTGTCCTTTTAAAAGTGGCTATCTGTGTGAGTTAGTAAAATAGACATGTCATGAAAATACCTCAAGGTTGGTTTGAAAATGAAATTGTTCTTTTAAAAACTTGTTCACCGTAAATTACCAGTCACGTTTTGGGCTGGTTTGTTGAAAGATCCATTTTTGAAATATTTGTTCAATTCCGTTTTCAAAGAGAAGGGCCGTAAAATCTGCTCATCATCAAAAGACTTTGAAAGAGTTAGTGATAAATAAAGAATGAGGCCCTTTAATTTATTACCAGTGAATGGTTGAAATACTCTAATGTATATAGTAAGTAAATTCATGTTCTTCTTTATTTTACCTATGAGCTTGGTTTTGCCGAGATTCCTAGAAATGATTAAAGCATAAGCGAAGCATGTAACAACACTGTTAGTATCACAACATGTACAGAGATTAAATGATGAGTTCAATTTTATTCTAAAAATGCGAGAGAGGAAAGGGACTGGACTTAAAATTGGGCCAAAGAGAGGGCAGGCGCAGTAGGCTTCGAAACACGACAACAGCAGACTTCAGCAATGTAGACTCTAGGCTGGAACTTGTTCCTGAATCCTAGTGAACTCAACAGGCCCAAATCCAAATATGCATGCAAAGAGATAAGGAAAAATATTAGTGGTGTTGCATGAGGCCCAAAAAACAAACTGTAATATATAAGTGTGATTAAGAATACAGTAAAGTTATCGTGAGGCCTAATAAACAAAATGTAATATATAAGTGTGATTAAGAATACAATAAAGCTATCATGAGGCTCAATAAGACAAAATTGTAACAAAAATATATTGTTAGGATGATAATTGATCCTTATTTGTATTAATTCTAAAGGGATTAATGAAGATCAATGACTAAGAGCTTAGGACAAGACTTTACTCATGAACAAGGTACCCCCTGGAATCCATGGCACATCAGAGGTCACAAGAGTCTTAAGGACCCCGGGCAGTGCTTATGTCAGGGAAGGGCACCTTAATCATAAACTGAATCCTACCCCAAATACCCTTGATCACTCACACTCAATATTTCTTAAAGGTTTAGATACAAATAGGGTATTCACGCAATAACTATCATAAAAATAGTAGTGAACACATAGGTATAGATACAAAACTACAGAGGCTATGAAACATATCATCAAGATTCAGGAGCAAGAACACCTTAAGACTGCAGTACTACACTTGGGATCATAATATGAACAAAAGGAGGCCAGACATATTATCAGGTTATCAACCAAACATCCAAGTGCAAAACTAAACTTTCACAAGCAGAAAACATCAACTAAACCCAGAGCAGTATCCATTTTAACAGTATAAGCAGGTGTTGGGAATTCATTAAGTGGAAATAATGGATTTCTATTCCATATTCTTATATAACTCAGGTGGTTAGATTATTATGGAGAATAAATTAAACTCATTGCTCTGAAACCATTCAAATGTAGCACTTAACAACAGCAAATATGAGATTGCTTCAAGTGAAATAAATGAAAACGTTGTAACACCCATTTCGACCATCTTCAAGGTAATTCAAAATCCCTATATGGTTGAATCTTACATATATTGAATATTTATATTAACGAACTTAATCAAACTCTCTAGAGGTGGCAACAGACAATAAAAGTGTCCCTTAAACTTAGCAGCATGATTTCTAACCTATTATGTTCTCAGCCCATGTTCAAACATATAATCGAACCTTTACAACTAAGAGCATCCATTAAATATAGAGCAATGCCTTCCCTTGAACCAAACACATGAGGATTAGTGAGTTTCCTTGAATCCTGATTCCTATATAATTCATGTTGTAAAGTCATTAATGCCGGCAAATTGTAACTTATTTTTATAAAGAAACTTTAAATGAAAAGTGTAGCATCTTAGGCAAGAATCGTTCTGAAGGAACGCAATAGGAAGTTCAACAGTGTGACCAAGCAAACAAATAATCAGAAAATATTTAAACTCACACGCTGTGATGTTTTCAAAGAATCACAGAGTTACAATACATATTTGAGGAGTAGATATCCTAACAGCACAATTGGTAAGTTAAACTATAACATCAAACTTGCATTGTATCCTTGAATGTGCATAACTAATCATGGTTCCAACATTGTAGAGGTACACATGTAAAGTGCATTGCATGGGTCGACAGGTGGTATAATATTATCAGCCCCAGGATTGGGTTAATACAAATATGGTAGACACAGCTTCTCAGCAAGACATCCAATAAGCTTAGGTTATGGTTCTGAATAAGCTATCTAATCATGGTGGCATAGTTTAAGTATGATACCTCAAACATGAGTCTTTCTTAAATAGAAGATAGAACATGAAGTTCATGTACAAAAATGCATAAGTGTAAGAGCTAACAAAGATAACATACATACAATGATGCTTCTAGAGATTATTAGATTACACGATGTATCAGGTGAGCAGATAATATAATAACCATGAGTTTGTCATATGAGTCTAGATTATAATTACATAATCTTAACAGACATGGTTCCAGCCACAGATTATTTGGCAAAAGCAGACAAGTTAGAAGTGTGACATGAATACTATAATGAGAGTCACTATATTGTATCAGACATGAGCTCTTAACAAGCTATCAGAAAGGTCTAAGACATAGTTCAATTAAGTTAACTACAAAAATACACATAGAATCATCAAAGGCTTAGCTAGTTACACATGTCAAGCAGGAATTAGAGAATTTATTATAGGAAGTATCTATGTGAGTCATGAAATTCATTAGTACAGAATAGTCAACAATGGATTGATTATAGATTATCAGAGGATAATTAACTCAAGCAGTAACAATAACGTGTGAAACCAAAACATATTAATTAATTATAAGTTATTAAGGTGTATCATAAATGAAGGTAATTATCAGATAGAACATTTTAAAAACAAACACAAAATAGCATAGATAATCAAAGAGAGAGGGAGGGTCTATATACACTGACCAGATATGGAGAAGAAAATCAAACAAAGCCTTTTTTTTCGCCGTTGAGAATCCAAAAACTCGAGCTCGAACAAGCAAAGAAACTCAGAGCCAAAGAGGAAGAAAATAAATCAGTGAGAAAGCTTTTAATTTCCTTAGGTATTGGATAATATTCAATTGTATGTTAAGTTGGTTCTCTGTCTCAGGAGAGCAATTAAGGCTCCAATTTATAGTGAAATTCAATGCCTAGGGTTCCAGCCGGTTTGAATTCTTTGTGGACGATGACAATGGGGTTGATGACGATAGGGAGTAAAATCAGAAGAACATAAAAGGAAATGATGAAGAAGTTTCACCTGGGCATGTGAGAACGAAAAGAGACCATTGATGAACGAAAATCCATTAGCTAAAGCTTCAATGTCCATAGGTAATAATCATGATGAAGCCTGGGAAATCTTCATGCATGCTACGGATTTGATAGAGCACAATAGGAAATCAGATGTAACGACCTGATCGATCATTTTGCTTTTTAGAACCTTGTTCCCTTAAATAAAACTTCCCGTACGTGCTTTTACTATTTTTAACTTGCGGGAATGGTTAGTTCGGGTTTGGAAGTATTCGGATTGAAATCAGAACACTTAGTTCCTTAATATTAGCTTAAAATGGTTAAGTTTGACTTGAGTCAATGTTTTGATTAAATGACCTCGGAACTGGGATTTGATGGTGCCAATAGGTTCGTATGATAATTTTGGACTTGGGCGTATGTTCGGATCAGGTTTCAAATAACCCGAGAGCGTTTCGACGCTTAATATTGGAAGTTGGCGCATTGAAGGTTTTCAAGTGCTTTAAATTGGGTTTGAGGTAGGATTTGATATTATTGAGGTCCGATTGGGATTTCGAGCATGGAAATAGTTTCGTATAGTGATTTGTGACTTACACATAAAATTTGGTGTCCTTCCGATTAGTTTAAGTATGATTCGGCACGTTCGGAGCAAGATGGAAGAACATGAAGTTCACAAGTTGATTCGATTTGGTTTTGGAGTGTGATTCTTAGTTTTGATATTGTTTATAGTGTTCTGAGGGTTCGAGTGGGTTCGTTTTATGTTTATGAACTTGTTGGCATGTTTGGGCGGGGTTCCGGGGGCCTCGGGTACTATTCGGGCAATGTGCGGAACTTGTTTGGGCTTGGGAGCACTACTGAAGTAGCAACACAACCATCGTGCACATAAGCGGCAGGGGAGTGGGCTGACTAGAGTCCACAAAAGTGGAGCTTTTTCCACAGAAGTGGACTCGCTTTGGCGAGGGAGGAGTCATAGGTACGGAGGGAGGCAGCATGGCGTATGTCGCAGGTGCGCGAGGTGAGCTGCAGAAGCAGGCTCGCAGGTGCGGAGCTTTTCCACAGGTGCGACCAGTGCTGGTTCACACGTGTTTCGTAGGGGCGGGTATTTTTCTGCAGAAGCGGCGATGCTTTCGTATATGCGAAAACCGCTGGGAGGCAGTGAAGTGCATTTATATCGGGACTTAGCCTATTTTGGCTCATTTCTTTCATCTCTTGTTTTTGGAGCTCTTTGAAGAGGGGTTTTCACCTAGCACTTGGAGGTAAGCGAATTCTATGTAAGATGAGCTTAATACAAGCATTTTGGGTAGATTCTTAGCACATAAAGTGTCAAAATTGTGGGTTTAGTTAAAAACCTTAGGTTTTGATAAAAATGAGATTTAACCACGAAAATGATTATGGAATTGGGTGAAAATAATAAATTTGAGTTCGTGAGGTTATGGGTAACAATTTTCTTCAAATATTTCCGGAATCCGGGCACGTGGGCCCGGGGGTAGATTTTAGGAATCTTCCAATTTGGGTTGGGTAATTACCCTAATAGTTAAATTATGAATTTTGGAGTATATATTAAGATATATAATATTTGGCTAGTTTCGGGTTGTTTGGTGCCAAGTTGAGGATGTAGAGCGGATTTGTGGATCGGAAGTGAGCTTGAGAACGAGGTAAGTCTCTTGCCCAACCTTGTAAGAGGGAACTCATCCCCTTAGGTGTATTTTGTTGTGTATTACTTGTGTGGGGAGCTACGTACGCACTAGGTGACGAGAGTCCGTGCGTAGCTATATTCCATGAGATGTTCTGGTAGTCTTAGATCCACATCATGCTTTAATTGTACTGTTATGTTTGTTATAAAAATTAATTTTCTTAAATAGAGCAGAGACTAAGGATTTTACAGTTGCAAATTTCAAATTTAGATTTCTTATTTTTGGGAAGAATTGAGGAATACATAATAACTCTGAGAAATCCATGTCTACTCGCATCACAAGTACATCCACGAGCGAGGTAAACTTCTCTACTCTCAAGGGAGCGGGCCGTTCACCTCGGCAATATAACAGATGCATCTATGGTTCGTGTCGTTAGATCCTCAGTAGTGCACATAATATTTTGGATCAGGCAGTATGACCTCGGCATAAATCGTGCGTGATAATACTTGGAGCCCGATTACACTTGATATTATTTTATGGCTTAAGAAGGTATAATCTATTTAATGACTGAAATTGCTTTTGAACTAGTAAGTGTTAGTTTGAGATTCTAGAATTTACTATCAGTTAAAGAATCATTTATTCACTGCTTGCTATTGTGTTATTATTATTATTATTATTCACATATTCCTTGCCTATTTTGAATTTCTGTATTTTATTTGTTGGCGTATAGTAAGTGTCGATGTTGACCCCTCGTTACTACTTCTTCGATGTTAGACTAGATACTTACTGGGTACATGTTGTTTATGAACTCACGCTACACTTCTGCACTAATTGTGTAGGATTTGAGGCAGGTGCATCTGGTGTCCATTTAGGCGCGCACCCCCGTTAACCAGAGGCTTAGTGGTGAGCTGCTCTCTGAGTCCGTTCTGCAGCACCTGCAGTCTCTCTCTATTATATTTATTTTCTGTCTATCTCACTTTCAGACAGTAGCTTAGGTGTTTTGTATATTCTACTAGTTGCTCATATACTTGTGACACCGGGTCTTGGGAACATGCTAGTAGAGACCTTATGACTTTTGAGTATTTATTTCATCATACTTGCTCATTTATTAGTTTACGCTTTACTTTATTAAATTTTCCACTTCTTTTATTTACTTAATAAATCAAAATCAACTACTTTAAACTCAATAAAAGGAATAAATATATGGCTAGTTCACCGTTGGCTTGCCTAGCGACGATGTTAGGTGCCATCACAGCCTATAGGAGGAATTGGGTCATGACAACATGGTATCAGAGCACTAGGTTCACGTAGGTCTCACAAGTTATGAGCATGCCTAATAGAATCTTGCGGATCGGTGCGGTGACATCCGCACTTATCTTCGAGAGGCTATAGGGTATTAGGAAACTACTCTTTCTTCATCTCCTATCATGCAGTTGATGTTGTGCTAAGTATCTTTCTCTTATTCTCTCACAGATGGTTAGAACGCGCGCGTCATATGTACCCAACCGTGGAGGAGCTGCTCCCCCTGTTTCTAGAGGCTGAGGTAGAGGACGAGGGCATTCTAGAGTTGCTCAGTTGTGCCACCAGTGAATCCAGTGGAGGTTCCTGTTATTGAGGAGTAGGGCGAGGTGCCTGCAGTAGAGCCGACCCCAGTGGATTTCATGTCTGTACCAGGATTCCAGGAGATCATGGACCGTATATTGCGGTTCATGGAATCTATGACTCTGGCTGGTTTATTTCTAGCAGACCCAGCCACATCTCAGGCGGGAGGGGGAGCACAGACCCCTATTGCTCAAACTCTAGGGCATGTAGCTATCGTGTATCAGACCCGGGGCGCACTACCCGTGGGCGGAGATCAACCAGTTACAGTAGCTATACATGAGCCTAGACCAGCTACGGCCGGCGAGCCGCAGAAGCTATTAGATAGATGGACTAGGCTAAATCCTCCTTTCTTCGGAGGTGAGCGGCATGAGGACCCTCAGGACTTCATTGATCGTTTCAGGTACCGGCTGCACAACATGAGGATATTGGAGTACCACGGGGTGGACTTTACCACCTTTCAGGTAGAGGGCAGGGCCCGTAGATGGTGGCAGTCCTATCTTCTCGGCAGGCCAGCAAGTTCTCCTCCCTTGACTTGGGACCAGTTCACACGCCTCTTTCTGGATAGACCTGTGATTTCAGTTCGAGCAGCTTCATCAGGGTCAGATATCGGTGACTGACTATGAAGCATGATTCTATGAGTTCTCTCGCCATGCACTTATGATACTTTCCACCGATGTAGAGAGAGTGCAGAGGTTTGTTGAGGGTTTGCACTCTAGTATCCAAGCCACTATGGCCCAAGAGGTTTAGATGGGACTTCTTACGAGCTGGTTGTGGAGATAGCTCGGAGGATCGAGGGTGTTCGTCAACGGAGCCAAGAGCAGATGATGAGGGACAAGCAGTTTCGGTGTTCTAGAGGGTTCAATGGTTCTCCGTCTGGGGACAGAGGTCAGTTTGTGAGGGGTCAGTCTAGCAGGCCCACATATCCAGCACCGCCACCTCCCCGGGGTACTCCAGTGCGACCCTATTTCAGCGCTATTCCAGAGAGCTCCTACCACCCGCCAACTATTCAGGTTTCCTCTAGTGGATATTCAGGCCATCAAGGTCAAACTTCAGGTCAGCAGTCCACCGTTCCGAGGGGTTGTTTCGAGTGCAGGGATCCTGGCCACATGAAGAGATTCTGCCCCAAACTTCGGGGCAAGGCAGTATACTAGGGTCATCAGCCTAAGATTACAGCACCAACTGCCACACCAGACGTCCCACCGCCCAGAGGTGGAGGGCAGGTGGGTAGGGGCCGTCCTAGAGGTAGAGGCCAGTCAGGTGGAGGCCAGTCATGTGGCACTCCAGCTAGGTTCTATGCCTTTCCAGCTAGACCAGATGCAGTAGCGTTAGATGCCGTGATCACATATATTATTTCTGTCTACAGTAGGGATGCTTCGGTACTATTTGATATAGGGTCTACATATTCATATGTTTTATCTGTGTTTGCTCATTTTTTGGGTGTTCCTCGTGAGTCCTTGGGTGCTCCTGTATATGTGTCCACGCCAGTAGGCGATTCTATTGTTGTGGATCGGATCTATTGGCCCTGTATCATTACTTTCTATGGTTATGAAACTAGAGCGGATCTTCTATTGCTCGACATGACCGACTTTGAGGTCATCCTAGGCATGGACTGGTTGTCTCCCTATCATGTCGTCCTTGATTGCCATGACAAGACTGTTACCTTGGTGATGCTAGAGTTTCCTAGATTGGAGTGGAAGGGTTTGTCTACCAGTGCATATAGTCGGGTTATCTCTTTTCTAAAGGCTCGACATATGGTCGAGAAGGGTTGTTTGTCTTATCTAGCGTATGTTCGGGATACTACTACAGAGACTTCGGCGATTGATTCAGTGCTCGTTGTCCGGGAGTTCTCTGATGTGTTTCCTTCTGAACTTCCAGGCATGCCACGAGATCGTGATATTGATTTCTATATTGATTTGGCTCCAGGTACCCAGCCTATCTCTATACCACCATACTGCATGTCTCCAAAAGAGTTGAAGGAGTGGAAATAAAATCTTGAGGAGTTGCTAGCAAAGGGGTTTTTCAGACCGAGTGTGTCGCCTTGGGGTGCACCGATGTTGTTCGTAAAGAAGAAAGATGGGACTATGTGGATGTGCATTGATTACCACCAATTGAACAAATTTACCATTAAGAACAAGTACTCGTTGCCATATATTGATGATTTGTTTGACCAGTTGTAGGGTGCAGAGTGTTCTCTAAGATCGACTTCAGATCGGGGTATCATCAGTTGAAGATTCATGATTCGGATGTTCCGAATATGGCTTTCCTGACTAGATATGGCCATTATGAGTTTCTAGTGATGTCCTTCCGCTTGACTAACTCCCCAATGATGTTTATGGATTTGATGAAACGGGTGTTTAGGCCATATATTGACTTGTTTGTCCTTGTCTTCATTGATGACATATTGACCTACTCGCGTAGCATGGATGAGCACGAACAACATTTGAGAATGGTGCTTCAGACCTTGCGGGAACATAAACTATATGCTAAGTTCTCCAAGTTTGAGTTCTGGTTGGATTCTGTGGCATTATTGAGGCATGTTGTATCAGGCGAGGGTATTAAGGTAGATCCTAGGAAGATCGTGGCAGTTCAGAGTTGGCCTCGTTCTACCGCAGTGACCGAGATCAGGATCTTCTTGGGGTTAGTAGGTTATTATTGCCGGTTTGCGGAGGGCTTCTCATCTATTGCAGAACTTTTGCCTAGATTGACCCAGAAGGGTGCTACATACCGTTGGCCCGATGATTGCGAGGCGAGCTTTCAGAAGCTCAAGACTGCCTTGACTTCAGCACTGGTGTTAGTGTTGCCTTCCGGTTCCGAGATGTATATTGTGTATTGCGATGCATCACGCATTGGCTTGGGTTATATATTGATGAAGGAGGGGTGAGTTATTGAATATGATTCACGCCAGCTAAAGCCCCACGAGAAGAATTACCCCGTACATGATTTGGAGTTGGCCGCGATAGTTCATGCTATCAAGATCTAGAGGCATTATCTTTATAGGGTGTCCTATGAGGTTTACACCTATTATCATAGCTTGCAGCATTTTTTCAAGAAAGGGATCTTAATTTGAGGCAGCGCAGGTGGCTTGAGTTACTAAAAAATTATGATATTACCATCCTTTATTATCTGGGCAAGGCGAATGTGGTTGCGGATGCTTTGAGTAGAAAGGCAGAGAGTATGGGTAGTTTGGCATTCATTTCAGCAGAGGAGAGGCCATTAGCTTAGGACATTTAGTCCTTGGCTAACAGACTTGTGAGGTTAGATATTTCATAGCCCAGCCGAGTTCTTGCATGCGTCGTCACTCAGTCTTCATTATTCGAGCAGATCAAGGCTCGTCAGTTTGATGATCCACACTTGTTGGTTCTTAGAGAGACGGTACTACAAGGTGGAGCCAAGGAGGTTGCTATCAGCGAGGATGACATTCTGTGACTCCAGGGTCGTCTATGTGTCCCTCATATTGATGGATTGAGGGAGAATATTCTAGAAGCCCACACTTCTCGGTATTCTATTCATCCAGATGCTACGAAGATGTATTGCGACCTGAGGTAGCATTATTGGTGGCAGCGGATTAAGAAGGACATAGTTGAGTATGTAGCGAGGTTCCTGAATTACCAACAGGTTAAGTATGAGCATCAATGGCCAGGTGGCCTACTCCACCAGATAGTTATACCTGAGTGAAAAGGGGAGCGCATCACTATGGACTTTGTAGTTGGGTTGCCATGAACCTGGAGGAAGTTTGATGCAGTTTGGGTCATTGTCGACAGATTGGCCAAGTCGGCACTCTTCATTCAAGTTGTTACCACGTATTCTTTAGAGAGATTGGCCCAGATTTACATTCAGGAGATTGTTCGGTTGTATGGTGTGCCTGTTTCCATCATATCAGATAGTGGTCCTCAGTTTACTTCGCATTTCTGGAGGGCAGTAAAGAGTGAGTTGGTTACCCGGATAGAGCTCAGCACAGCCTTTCATCCGCAGACTAGCGGGCAGTCGGTACGGACTGTTCATATCTTGGAAGATATTCTTAGAGCATGTGTGATTGACTTCAGAGGGCAGTGGGATCGATTCTTGCCTTTGGCCGAGTTTTCTTATAACAACAGTTATCAGTCCAGCATTGAGATGGCTCCATTTGAGGCTTTGTATGGTCGGCGATGCCTTTCTCCCATCGGATGGTTCGAACCCGGCGAGGCTATGTTATATGCTACTGATTTGGTGAAGGATGCATTTGAGAAGGTGAAGTTGATTCAGGAGCGATTTCGCACAGCACAACCTAGACAGAAGCGTTACGCAGATCAGAAGGCGCGTGATTTATCATTTATGGTGGGCGAGAAAGTTCTCTTTAATGTCTCGCCAATAAAGAGGAACATGAGGTTCGGGAAGAAGGGCAAGTTGATCCTGAGGTTTATAGGTCCATTTGAGGTATTGAGACGAGTTGGGGAGGTTGCTTATGAGCTTGCTTTGCCTTCTAGTCTATCGGGAGTTCATCCAGTTTTCCATGTGCCTATGATCCAGAGGTATCATGCCGACAGGTCGCATGTGTTAGATTATTGCACGGTTCATCTAGATGAGAGCCTGGGTTATGAGGAGGAGCCAGTTGCCATTGTTGACAGGTAAGTTCGACAGTTGAGGTCCAAGAAGATTTTTGTGGTAAAGGTTCAGTGAAGGGGTCAACTAAATAAGGAGGCGACTTGGGAGATCGAAGAGGACATGCGGAGTAGATATTCACACTTATTCGGCACTCCAGGTATGATTCTAGACCCGTTCGAGGACAAACGTTTGTTTAAGAGGTGGAGAATATAATGACTCGACAACTCATTTTGCATTCTAAATCCCCGTTCCATTAAATAAGACTCCTATTATGTTCTTTTAATGTTTTATGACTTGCGGGGATGGTTAGTTCGGGTTTGGAAGGGTTCGGGTTGAAATCGGAACACTTAGTTCCTTAATATTCGCTTAAAATGGTTAGGTTTGACTTGAGTTAGAGTTTTGACTAAACGACCTCGTAACCGGGATTTGAAGGTCCCAATAGGTTTGTATGATGATTTTGGAGTTGGGCGTATGTTCGGATCGGGTTTCGGATGACCCGAGAGCATTTCGGCGCATAATATTGGAAGTTGGCGCATTGAAGGTTTTCAAGTTCTTTAAATTGGGTTTTAGGTAGGATTTGGTGTTATCGAGGTTCGATTGGATTCCGACCCTGAGAATAGTTTAGTATGGTAATTTTTGACTTGCACATAAAGTTTGGTTTCATTCCGAGTAGTTTAAGTATGATTCGACGCGTTCGAAGCAAGTTGGAAGAACTTGAAGTTCATAAGCTGATTTGATTTGGTTTTGGAGTGTGATTCCTAGTTTTGATGTTGTTTTTCCTGTTCCGATGGCTCGAGTGGGTCCGTTTTATGTTTATGAACTTGTTTTCAAGTTTGCGGGGGGGCCCGGGGACCTCGGGTACTATTCTGGTAATGTGCAAAACTTGTTTGGGCTTGGGAACACTGCAGAAGCAGTAGCAATTCTAGTGCATTCGCACTTGCGAGAGACTAGTCGCATGTGAGAGCTCGCAGGTGCAAGCCATCGTGCGTAGAAGCGGCTGGGGAGTGGGCTGGCTAGAGTCCGCAGAAGCGGACTCACTTCTGCGAGGGAGGAGTCGCAGGTGCAGAGGGAGGCAGCATGGCGTAGGTCGCAGGTGCACGAGGTGAGTCGCAGTAGCGGGCTCGCAGGTGCGATCAGTGCTAGTTCACACCTGTTCCAGAGGAGTGGGTATTTTCCCGCAGAAACGGCGAAGCTTCCGCAGGTGCGAAAACCGCTGGGAGGCAGTGAAGTACATTTATATCGGGACTTAGGCTATTTTGGCTCATTTGTTTCTTCTCCTGGGCAATTTTGGAGCTCTTTGAAGAGGGGTTTTCACCTAACACTTTGAGGTAAGCGATTTCTATGTAAGATGAGTTTAATACATGCATTTTGTGTATATTCTTAACACATAAAGTGTAGAAATTGTGGGTTTAGTTGAAAAACCTAAGTTTTGATAAAAATGAGATTTAACCACGAAAATGATTATGAAATTGGGTGAAAATTATATATTTGAGTTTGTGAGGTTATGAGTAACAATTTTCTTCGAATATTTCCGAAATCCGGGCACGTGGGCCCGTGGTGGATTTCAGGAATCTTCCAATTTGGGTTGGGTAATTACCCTAATAGTTAACTTATAAACTTTTGAGTATATATTAATTAATTTATATAATATTTGGTTAGTTTCGGGTTGCTTGGCGCCATGTTGAGGATTTAGAGCGGATTTGTTGACCGGAAGTGAGCTTGAGAACGAGGTAAGTGTCTTGCCTATCCTTGTAAGATGGAACTCGGGAAGAAGTTTTCAATAAAGGCCTCCATGAACTCATCCTAAACCGTCGGAGGATCATCTTTCTTATGGGGCTCTTCACACATCTCATACCACAAGGAAGACTCATTTTTCAACCAGTAATAGGCTAGCTCGACGACCTCTGTCGTAGTGGCATGCATAACTCGGGTGGCCTTTTCTATTTCATCAACGAATTTGTAGGGGTCCTCTTCGGGCTTAGTACCTGTTAACTGGAGTATCTAGTACCTGTTAACACTAGAGTATCTGGAGAATCTAACTTTAGGAACTTGTTAACTCAAAAATTTATGGGATACCATTTGTGAATAGTCGTAGATGGCACCATATTGAGTCTATGATTTTGGGAAGCCATAATTTGTGTGAGTAATTGGATAGCTCTCCGAAGATCTGCATCAAAACTATTAAGTGCAGGAGAGAAGACCGGAGGTGGATATTGAGTCGTCATTGGAGGAGGTGGATGAGGCACTTGAACTTCTTCGGGAGCTACCTTGCCCTGGTTGGTGGACGACCTCGGCCCCTTGTTTGGACACTGCAGTATTGGCTACCTTATTAGATGTTATTTCTGGCACTATGCTTATTCTTGGTCATTCGTTTCTGCGGCATTTTTCGGTGAATTGGAACAATGCAAAGATTAGAAGTCATCCCTAGAGTCAAGCTCTACCGCACGATCTAGAGTATTAAAGAAGGGTAACATTCTTAAACGTTTGTGTAGCCTCTCAATTATAGATGTGGTCGATAACACATAGATAAGAAGAACTCTACTAGATACAGTTCCAAGATATCCTAGTACATTCTTAAACCTTAGTCTCTACTGTCAAGTTTGTAACACCCTCACCTTATGTGCCGAACACGACACCTAGCGCCGTTTTGTGTCCAAATTTAATTGGTCATGCCCTGACTTTGGGGGTCAAACATGACATCCGATTTCTTTTCTCTGTCTGGCTGAATCAACTTGCATTGACCGGAAGAATATGACTAATGCATAATTTCAGGAAACATCAATCCTTTCTTAAAACTTGTCATAACTTGTACAAAAATAATTAGCCAAATCAGTTATTCATACATGCCATGTGACACCTCAACTGAAATGAAAAAAATATAACATAACCCATTGTATATATGGAGCCTCTATAATGTCATAAATAAATTAAATACCGGTGATAAGGCAGATAATACCCAACAAAAATAAGGTTTATTTGTGTAAAACATAAGATTGTCCGGGGTATGAGATGGGGCTTACCAACAACCGGAGGGAATGAAGGAGTGCCTAGCAAGGGTCTAGACCGTCCGGAGTGCCAATACTTGCATCCAGGAAAGAAATGCAGTACCCTCAGAAAAAGAAACGTAAGTACATGATGAAGAGTACTCGTATGCATCATAAGTTCCTTCACATAAATGGGACAATAACATTAAAGGTGATACGGGAAACCACTATGTGTACAGCATGGTGTCGGATCTCGACCTCATCGGCTAAGTCATCTCACCACAATGTCATGTGGATAGACATTAGTTTGCTAGCAATTTCATTATCTCCTACCAAGGGAGATTATATAGTTGGCCAAAATGTACACCGACATGCGTAGCTGCTATTTAGCATCTTGGCCAATACCTTCTCGGTTACATAGCAGAACTCCCAAAATATTTCTTTTACTCCAGTACCTTTGGCAAAAATTATTTCCTTTATGGTCAGCTCAATGGCAACATATTAAGTTCTTAGAAAACTTTAACGTTCATTCGTTTTCATTTGAAAGTTTGAAATAGTTACAACATTTATCATGAAGAAAACTCAAATATGAAAAAGGAAATATGGCATTTGAGGAGTTACTTAGTCATGAAGATACATTTTAAGTCATAGAACTTTAGGAGAGAATGACTCTATGATAGGAGTTAGCTAAACCAACCTTTATACCGGAGCTAGCTTAGCTTCTTGGTTTCCAAGTTGCTAAGTAAATCTACATAACATAATAGGTAGAAAAAATTAATCGCCCAAGTTCAACATTCAACCCTACCCATTTACTATTCATAATAAACTCTAGTTCATAATTTGCTCTAAGAACTTGTATTTCTCATCAAAATGATATTTTTCAACTCATTACAATTCTCAAAGATCCATCTTAAACTTGTATGTGATTGGAGGCAGAGATTTACCTTTTTGAATTCAAAACCCTAGCTTAGGTCTTGGTCGACTGAATTTTCAGATGGAATTCTATATAGATTCAGTTCATAAAAGTTTTTAGGATTTAAATGGTGCTAGTGTACCATAAATGCACCATAAGTTCTCACTTTGATGAGTATTTATGAAAGATGTGTTCCTCCTTCTCTCTAGAATAATATCCCACTTCGGTGAATATCTTTGTTTCTCTCTTCGCCCTATAACATTCCTTATATAGCGACCTAGAGGTGCCGCATACGGTTTTCTCCAGACACTCGGTCGTTTATGTGGTTATTCTCCGGATACGTGTAGGATATTCAAAACACTCACTAAGTAGCTCAGGATGCTCATTGGATGCTCTGGATTCCTATGGTTCACTCTGAATCTCCCCTTACGGGTGTAGCTGAGGCATTTTCTTGTGCCTTCCCTCACTCCTGCTCGCCTTTTGATCCTTGGCTTACGTCAGGACTTTACAAAGTTTTATAGTTTTCGTTAGAAATGTAAAATAGTTAAAAGAAAACAGTTATCTACATCGAATATGGATAAAAATTATATTATTCACTTAGAAAATGGTTAACCAAATGGATAAACAATGGATAATTAATGTGTTTAACTTTTATATTTGTAAAGCCTCAAACTGGGGTTCGTCATATTTGGGAGACTATAAATACTCCCATAAGTAATCATATTCAAGAAGCCATGGATAATATGAATATCCATATTATCCGCCGGATAACCCGTTTTTTATCCGTCTCTAATACGGGTCGGTTCGGATAATTTATCCGTTTTTGAATTACTCATTTTCGATTCGCTCATATCCGATTCGACCCGCCCGTTTGCCACCCCTAATTTTAATTATTGTAGTTATTTTAGTAAATTGACTTTTTTTTAGTTTGACGTTTTAGGAAATAGAAGAAGCCCTTATTACTTCTTTTTTTTCCAAAAATTTTGTTATTTTTTTTAATAGTGGAGTGTTCATAAGACGTTTAAGCAAAAAGACAAATGATAGTTTTGACAAGGGCAAATGGTCACATTTATCCCTCTACTTTCGTATATTGTCTATATTTTTCTTCTATTATACTATTCGTCCAAATTTACCTCTACCGTTATAGTATCCGATCATATTTAGCTCTATCTCTAGCAAACTTTTAAAATTATCCCTAATCCTAATGGTTATTCACAATCTCCAAATTTCTTTTATTTAAGTTACTTATTCAACTCCTTTATCCATCCTTTTCGGAGTAGGAAGATGAGGAGGCAGCAGCGTGCTTTATTAAATATATAATAAATATCTTTAATTATTATTGAAAAAAGTGAGAGAAAACCAAAATTATAAATCGTATTGCATAATAAATTTCATGTTATACTAACTAATGCATCACAGTCTGTAGTCCCTGTTAATATAGACCAACTTAATTTATATCTCTACATTATGCATATCAGATCTTGAACTACTTTACGCATATAAAAGAATTATAGGTATTTTGATAAACACCCATACAAAAGAAGAAACCAAAGAGTCATATGATTGCTTTTAAAGTTTGCTCTAAAAATGTTACCTAATTATTATTTCATAGGAATAGAATCCACAATATTATGTGCGAACTTTGGATTCTCCCACATTTCGAGTTGTATATATGCATTTTGGTCTTTATCTTTGAAATATCAATATTAGTTATGGTCCCCAAGTTTCAAAAACATGCAAAACATGGGACCTCGTGTATTCAAAGTCAATTATGGTCCATTAGAATGATATTTAGAATTTAATACTCATTTTTTTCTCTTTCATCTTTGAAAGATCGTGTATTTTCTTTTATTAGTTTGGCTTCTCTCGATTTCTCTAACGTTTTATGGAGCTATCAAATTTATGGCGCTTTACTGTCAAAAAAGAACGATGTAATACGGAGGCGGATCCAGGATTTCAGGAGGATGGATGCACCACTATCCGTAGGGGTGTTCATAAAAACCCGAAAAATCGAACCAAACCGACTAAAAAACCGATACTTTTTAGGTTTGGTATGGTTTTGGTTTTGAATTTTAAAAACTAATCAAATTTGGTTTGGTTTTGGTTTTAATTAAAAAATAACCAAAAACACCCGAACCAAACCGGCTATAAAAGTAGCTATTTAAATTTATTATTACACCTATATATATATATATATGTATATTTTTATATAAAGTTTCTAAAATTTTATGGTACATATTAGTCATTTATATTTTTAGTCTAGTTCTTTGCTATTATAATAATCTAATTCTTTGCCTTTACATTCTAGTTTGATTGGTAGTTTTCTTTTGCTAAATACAAAAATTTATTTCATGTTAAAAATAATTAATTTTTAATTGAGTATTTTAATTATTTATCACTATTTGATTCAATTATCATCAATATATCTTGGTAAATGATAGATTTCTCAAAGAGCAATTGATTTGATGATGTTACGTTCAAAATGTAGTCGCCGGAATATGCGTTTGGTAGTGTATGTATCATATATATTTAAGAAAAAAACTGATGAATAACCGAAAAAACCGAAAAACCGACAAAAATCGAATCAAACCGAATCGATAAAAAATCGACTTAATTGGTTTGCTTTGGTTCCAATATTTGAAAAATTGATTTACTTGGTTTGGTTTCATTTTAGGGAAAAACCGACCCAAACCGAACCATGAACACCCCTAACTGTCTGATAACCGTTTGATTTGGTCTTCTAAAATTTTGCCATGACAACAACTTAACAAATAAACAACAATAACTAATGTTATTACAAAAACTTATCATTCCATAGACAAATGCCTATAAATAGTTTTTCCACCTTTGAGAACTATCAATGATAGCATTACTATTTATAGTTATAAATACTGAGGTCGATATATTACAATTAAATGACTATTCAAAAAGAGAGTGGTAAATAAAAAAAGGGAAATTGAAATTGTAAAGATTCAAATTAATTTAGATTTTATTTTTTAGAGTTTTTGAAACTCAATGATTGAACCGACAAGAGTGGGTTGCTCTAGTGGTAAGCACCCTCCACTTCCAACCAAGAGGTTGTGAGTTGGAGAGAGGGAGCCGAGGGTCTATCGGAAACAGCCTCTCAACCCCAGGGTAGGGGTAAAGTCTGCGTACACACTACCTTCCCCAGACCCCACTAGTGAGATTATACTGGGTTGTTGTTGTTAATGATCGAACCAAACAAGAAAATGAAGAAAACACAAAAGAAAAGAAAAAGAAATTAAAGAGAATCGAAAAAAAAAAGATATGTCAAAGAGTGAACCAAAAAACAGAAGAACGCACGAAAAAAAAGAAAAACAGAAAAGAAAGATACAACCATGGGATTTCAATTGAAACAAAAAAAAAAAAAAAAAAAAAAAAAAAAAAAAAAAAAAAAAAAAAAAAAAAAAAAAGAGAGAGAGAGAGAGAAATAGAAAAATGAAGAATTGGGATTCAAACAATAGACCTAGGGCACAAAGCCACCACTAGAGGGGAGCATGGGCTCACGTGCCCCATGTCCGTCCACGTGGATCCACTCCCGATGAAAGATAAGAATAAGGATCCGTTTGGCTATGAGTTTTGCCAAAATAAATTTGAAATTTATTTGGCAAACACATATTTGGCCATAGATTTTGCCCACGTTTTGGCAAAATTCCAAATTCCAAATCCCAAAATCACCTCAATTGCTGATTTTGGGCCAAAACATGACACGGTCATTTTTTAAAATTTTTAAATATTACCCCAAACTTTTATAGTTTGTAAAAGAGCCCACATTTATTACGACCAACTAAACCATATCTGCTCACTTGCCTCTCATTAAACTTATTTATGTTCACGACTATGGTTTGTGATAATGATAATGAATGGTATTGATGAAGGTTCTGTATATACAAGATATCAAGTTTGTTTGTTTGGTACTATTGGGTATTTGTGATAATTTTTAGAACTTGTGGGTATAAGTCATGTTTCATATTTTTTTCAAATAAAAAGTGAAATATGTTTTGAAAAATTATGTCCAAACACATTTTCATCTTCAAACCAAACTTCACCCAAATCAGATTTTTCAAAATAAATTTAGAAATTTATGACCAAACGCTAGCTAAGTATCTTAGATAAAGGAATTTTAGAGATTGAGGATAATTTTTTAAAAGTTTGCTAGAGGCAGGGGTAATTTAGCCGGATAGTATAACGGTAAGGATAAATTTGGCCGATATAACGGTAGAATAAATTTAGCTCGATAACATAACGGAAGGTAAATCTAGACAATATCCGAAAATAAAGGAGTAAATTTGACTCTTTTGCCCTTATGACAAATATTTTTATGATTAAGTCCATTAAATACTCTTATAAAGGGTATGCAAATGCAAAGTAAACAGAAGAGCTATAAAAGCGTTGCTTTTCCTAAATCCGTGCATATCCAATAAGCACTTGCGTAAAATCCCATCTGAAACTATTCATGCCGTAAAAAGTCAATTAAGCTTAAATACAGACTTCACCGAAATAAATAAAAGATGTTCAAAGAATCTACAATAGAATCTGTTAATGCTTTGTCTGTCCTGGTATAACAACACACGTAAACGTCTTTGCCCTCTGCCGCGGCCAAGTGTACTGAAGTCACCCGAAAGCAAGAATTTAAGAAAATGAAAAACAAATAGGCTGGTTTTCTGTAAACCTACTTCCAAACGCAAACTCATCTATTGAAATGTTCACATACACCAACTTATATAGAACTACATATATCACTTTCTTGTTTCTTTCGTTTCTTTCAGAAAAAAAAATATAATTTATCTGCCTTAGTCTTGTGCTCTGATTTGAAGTTTCTTTTTATATCAGTATCTGTGCGGCTTTTCGTGTTTGTGCATTCTCTAAAAAGTTGAACAACAATCTTTTATATATATATATATATNATCAGAATCATGTAAAGGTGAGTCTTGTTTTACGTGTTAATGTCCAGTTCTTTGGTCATATTTCCTGATAAAATCAAGGTGTTGTAGACATTTTTGGAGTTGCAGAAAGAATCTTGGAGGACAGTGTTGACATTAGCATATCAAAGTTTAGGAGTTGTATATGGGGATTTAAGTACCTCTCCACTTTATGTGTATAAGAGTACCTTTGCTGAAGACATTGTGCACACGGAGACAAATGAAGAAATCTATGGTGTTCTTTCGTTTGTATTTTGGACATTGACTTTGGTTCCTCTATTGAAGTATGTCTTCATTGTGCTTAAAGCTGATGATAATGGTGAAGGAGGCACATTTGCTTTATATTCACTCCTTTGCAGACATGCCAAATTGAATCCATTGCCTAGTTTCCAATTAGCAGATGAAGAATTGTCAACTTACAACAAGGATATCAATACTCATGCCCCAACTACTTTTGGGGCAAAAGTTAAATCAACTCTAGAGAGGTATTGTTGAATTGAATGACCTTTTCATCTTAATTAATGTTTGAACGGTTAACGCTACAATATTTATGACAATCTATTGATCGTCACAAATTTGAGCGTTGCAAAAATTTCTGATGGAAGGTCCATCTCATTTAGAAACGAATTTTGCAAATAGAGAGGGTACACTTCTATTTATTTAATTGTATCTTCAACAATTTATTTGATTATATTTTCAACAGGTACAGGGTATTACAAAGATTTCTGCTTGTATTGGCTCTTATTGGAGCTAGTATGGTAATAGGCGATGGTATTCTTACACCTGCTATTTCTGGTATGCTACTGCTTTCTGGTTGGTTCGTTTCAACCTCAATTTGGGAAGTTTGGTGTGTGTTACTAAAATCTTTTATTTTCTTTTGGCGACTCCTCTGCAGTTTTCTCAGCAGTTTCTGGTGTTGAACTTTCTTTGGGAAAAGAACATCATAAATGTAAGATTCTTAATATTGTTCTGTGAGATTTGAATGATCATGGACAACTGTGAATGTGGCTTTCTAAATTTTTGGTCTTTGAAAACATCTTGATAGCTTGCTTCTAGATTTGATAAAGGGATGTTGACACACCTTTAAAGTTCAAACTGTTACATTTTCATGTGTAAATCAGTTGTAGTTATTATGTCTAAATACAAGGGTTTGATTTGGTTCGGCAACAATACAATTGAAATTAAAGATTAAAAACTACTAATATGATTTTCATAGACCTTTTTAGAAGTCATATGGACTCGGAGTTGAAGGCAGGGTCTCAATTCAGAATATTTCACTTGTATTGGCTTGTTCAAAGGTCATGAAAATGTTAAGACCATTCTGGCCCTAGAAATTCTTATTTTTTTCTACTTCATTCTGCTTAAACGCTCCATGCCTAGACTAGGCTTTGTTGCCTATATCTTTTGTCACAAAAAAATCCAAACAAAAAGATAAAAGTTTTTAATGCTCAATCATGATAATATCAGCTGCTTGGATGTTGGAATCAAATTCTTGTGGTGGGAGGCTTTCCTAATTACACATTCGATGGTGGTGTTTGTCTGGAAAATCTTAATCTATAAAAGGAGTAAAGAAGGTGGCATAAAGGACTATTCTTCCTAACATTAAATTACAAGCTATCAACAAAGAAGTGATTAAGTAATAATCGAACAGATACCTGTTTGGTTTTTGGTGGATGAGGAAGTTGGACTTTTCTGGTGAATTTGTGCTCTGTAAAATGGGGCTGCAGTCGAAGCCAAGTGGAAAAAAGTGATCCCCACTGTAATTCTTGACCTAGCCGAATTTGGTTTGTTATATTAAAGGAAGGATCAGTATATGTTGGATGATCTTAAATGACGGCCATCCATTATAAAGAAACATCTTGCGGCTGAGAAACTAAATTAAAAACTTGACGTCCTCAAGTAGATTTGTAGAGACCTATTTTATTATGCTTATAATAATATTGAACTTCTAGAGAAATATTGACTCAAGAACCAGCAGAGATTAACTTCCGTCTAGAATCTCGGAGCTTGAGGAAGTATGGCTTTACTTTGCTAACATCCATTACTTGCATTTATAGATGGTGACTGTCATTGAGACTCACTGAATTTCATTGGTTAGAAATGTCTCTGGAGAATATAAAGGAACTTGCAGAGATGCAAGTTAAAATTGAGCATTGATAGGTTAATCAATTTGTGCTTTTTGAATGTTTGCATTTTTGTTGTGGTAGTTATGGTTGTTTGCCCCACTGGATGGAGAGTTATGCTAACGGCATTTATACAGTGAGATAGGTACTCGTTTCTCTGCATGTTATGTCTCGTGGAGTTCCAATATTTAAGAAATCTTAGGATAGTGTAGTTTAGTCTTCACTGCTAATTATTGTATTTCCAATCATATTAAGGATTTTGAATTAAATTGAAGTCTTAATACCTCTGCCAAAAAAGACATGCTATACTTTCTTCTAAATTATGAAAATTTTGCAGATGTGGAAGTCCCAGTTGCTTGTATCATACTGGTAGCCTTGTTTTCCCTTCAACATTATGGCACCCACAGGGTTGGATTTTTGTTTGCACCTGTTGTCGTGACTTGGCTTCTTTGTATCAGTGCTATTGGTATATATAATATAATACACTGGAACCCATATGTGTATCGAGCACTGTCTCCTTATTACATGTACAAATTCCTAAAGAAAACTCAAACAAGAGGCTGGATGTCCTTGGGAGGAATCCTTCTGTGCATAACAGGCATGTATAGTTTGTTGTCTTCTCAAGTGGGTAGTTGTCCGCTTCTCTTCTTTAAATACTATGATCACCTAATACGACATTTCATTCTGTCAGGTTCAGAAGCAATGTTTGCTGATCTCGGACACTTCTCCCAGTTGTCAATAAAGGTATGTGTTCATCCTTCCTTTTATATGTCCAGTTTTTCCAACTGCAAAATCTGACTGAAAGTATGAGATAATATTAAAAGAGAAAGAAATACACCAATCATATGCATCATAAAAGCTGAAAGACCACTACTGTGTTAAAGTCAAGAGGCATGAATCATTAAATCGGATCAGTCTATATGGTTTTAATTCCTCTGTGTGGTAGAAACTTCTCCTAAATTAAACTGTGTAGAAGATTTCTCTTCTGAAAAAAAAAAGCATTTCTGATTGATCTCCTTGCAAAGTCATACATGTAAGTCTTTGACAAATCAATCTCGCATGATTGCTAGAATTTGATCTTGATGAAATGTATCAAATATAATAAGTAGTTCAAATACTTGTGAATCGTGATGATGTAAATGACTCTTAGCTGTTATTCAGTCGGAAGTTATTACATTTGTACCATAATCACTTGTATCACTGCCAATGTGTTTATAATCTGATGAGAATGTAACTAAAGGAAAAGGATAACGAACTAGAGACATGAAGAAATACAGTTTGAAGATAGATTCTGTTGAGTTACTATATTTTGAAGGTTCTCCTTTTGGTTGTAGAAAATGAGATATCCGAACCTAGTCCCTTTGGTGAATTGTGCCCACTCATACACTTTGTATCATAGTGAAACAGTAACATTGTCTAAGAGACTAGTTCCATTTTTGCAGATTGCTTTTACCTCCATAGTTTATCCATCACTTATTCTTGCGTATATGGGGCAAGCTGCTTATCTATCGCGACATCATGTAATGGAGAGTGATTATCAGATTGGCTTCTATGTTTCAGTACCCGGTATGTATCACAAGAGTGGCTTTTACGGGGAGAATTGTAGATTAAGCAAACTCAGCTAATGATTGACATTTAACATTGTTGCTTCAGAAAAATTAAGATGGCCGGTTCTGGTGATTGCTGTACTGGCTGCAGTAGTGGGGAGCCAAGCCATTATCACTGGAACCTTTTCAATTATTAAACAATGCTCTGCGCTGGGATGCTTCCCTAGAGTCAAAATACTGCATACGTCGTCAACAATACATGGTCAGATTTACATCCCAGAGATTAACTGGACCTTAATGCTACTATGTTTGGCTGTTACTATTGGTTTCAGAGACACCAGAAGGATGGGAAACGCTGCAGGTATGCCTTTAATCATGTTCAAAAAGGATAGCAAAATTCTTTTGGGTGGAAATCATTTGGACTGGTTTTCATGTTTAATTTTGCTATGGATTCTCTATCTCTTGTGCATACATATACTCGTTTGTTTAGAAATTCTGTTTCCACTTGTTTATAAAGTGGTCTAATATATCCCTTATCCCTAAAATTTTCTCTTTGCATCAGGTTTAGCTATCATAACTGTCATGCTGGTCACCACTTGCTTGATGTCATTGGTAATTGTTTTGTGCTGGCACCAGAGTGTTTCCCTCGCAATTTGCTTTGTGATCTTCTTTGGGACAATTGAGGCTTTATATTTCTCTGCTTCTTTGATTAAATTTTTGGAAGGAGCATGGGTGCCTATTGCAATGGCTTTTATTTTCATGATACTAATGTGCATTTGGCACTATGGCTCACTGAAAAAGTATGAGTTTGATGTTCAAAATAAGGTCTCGGTTGACTGGCTACTGAGTTTAGGCCCTAGCCTAGGCATTGTAAGAGTCCGTGGCATTGGCGTCATACACACTGAGCTTGTATCCGGAATCCCAGCAATCTTCTCACACTTTGTTACCAATCTTCCAGCGTTCCATCAAGTCTTAGTTTTCGTTTGTGTCAAATTTGTCCCGACTCCTCATGTTAGACACGAAGAACGGTTCCTTGTTGGATACATTGGCCCAAGAGAGTATCGCGTCTATAGGTGCATCGTCAGATATGGTTATCGTGATGCTCACAAGGATGATTCCCAGTTCGAGGATGATCTTGTATGTAACATAGCTGAGTTTATACAGATGGGAAATACAGGGTTGAATAGCAATGCTGCAGATTTAAAGAATTTTGAGGACATAACTGTTGTTGGAACCGCTTCAACTCACGTACCTGGAGTTCAACTTCGTGAGGACGAAGAAGTGAAATCTGACTCAGTTGGAACGACGGAACTTAGAGAAATACATCCTTTACAGATAACCAAGGCTAAGAAAAGGGTGAAGTTTGTCATATCAGAAACAACAAAGATCGACAGAGGTGCGCACGAGGAGTTGAGAGAACTGATGGAAGCTAGAGAAGCTGGCATAGCTTACATATTGGGGCATTACTATGTCCAGGCCAAACAAGGATCTAGCTTATTCAGGAAAATAGTTATAAATTATGGGTATGAGTTTCTGAGAAGGAATAGCAGACCACTCACCTATGCGTTAACTGTACCTCGTGCTTCTACTTTAGAGGTAGGAATGGTCTACCATATATGATTTTGGCGTATAGAGGATAACCAAATAATGAAATATGTACATATGTTTGTAGTTTTCTGTAAGAATACAAGGGAAGTGTTAGCATTATCATGATTGAGAAATATGTAGCATATTGTTTAGCCAATGCTATTTGCAATGGCAAGGCTAGATGGTGTCTTATATTTTTCTCAATTATTTAACGAGTGAAAAATATTTATACAATCATATCACGGATTATGGGCTTTCTTAGAATTTAGTATAATTTGTGAAGTTACTCATGCTCTATGATCGGCAAACTTCTAGATCATAGTCTCACTTGTGAATACATGAAAAGTATGTAAAACAATATATGATGCTAATTTTATAGGTAATAGGGTCAGATTTGTTCCTCCGCTTACATAAATAGTTTTCATTTAACCTTCGTTATATTTTACGGCCAGCAAAATTGTTAAAAGTACACCTATGGCCATTAACCTCTTCCATCATGGCAACCACAGGGGCGGCTCTAAGGCTAGGCTAGTAAGATCATTGCTTTAGGTCCCCAAAATTTGAAGGCCCCAAATTTATTTAAACTCTTATACTATATAATTTATATAAATAAATACTATAAATAAAAGTGTTACAGTATTATTTTTTTTATTTAATTGAGTTATTTTTAATATTAATAAGCTCATAAATTATGATAATTTTCTTCACTCATTAATTAGTATATTTGCTTCACTCTTTAAATTTAATTTTATCCTTTTTATATAGGAACTAAGTTATATACATCGACAACATAATGATTTTTTTTCTTCAAATATTCTCTAAAAATGCATGAACACAAAAGCATTCATGCACCGTTTTTCTTTTAGTGTAATTCAACATATTATATTAGATTATTTACAATTTATTTTAGATATTCACAAGTGAGTGCTATTTTTAGAATGAATTACAATTATCGTTTAGTATGATTCGACGGGGTCCCGAGGGGCACGGGTGTGATTTGGGGTAATTTCGGACTACTTTGGTTGAATTTGCATTACAAGTTTTCTGTTGCATCTGATGAGCATAGCGACCGCGGAAGAAGCTTCACAATCGCATAGTGTGTTTTGGCCACTAGTGATTTACTCATCACGTTCACAATCATGTGTCCGCGTTTGCGGAGAAGAGATGTTGGTAGGCGTGAATTTGTGAAGTGTGTTCGCGTTGAGGGAGCGATAAGTGAGAGTTGGTCTACGCATTTGCGATGGGTAGAGCGCGTTCGCAAAGGAGAGATTGGAGCTGGGGCAGTTTCTTCGTGTTCGCGGTGACTTGTCCGTGTTCGCATAGGAGGGTGGTCCTTGGACATCGCGTTTGCGATGTTTTATCCTGCGTTCGCGATGTAGCCTTTCCAGGCGCGTATAGAATTAAATTTCGCCGCGAAAGGGAGTGTTGGGCAGACCTATTAAGTTGAAAATTTCGCGGTTTTACCCATTATTTCCTATTTTGGAGCCCTAGACTTGGAGATGGGTGATTTTTCATGGGGAGTTTCACACAAGGCAAGAAGGTAAGTGATTTTTGTCTATTTGTGATTATATTTCAAGTATTTATATGGATTTCTACATATTAAACATGGAATTTTGAAAGAAAATTTGGGATTTTTATCTACCCTTTAAGAGAGTGTATTTTGGATTTTTGACCATCGATTTGGACCCGAATTTGAAAACTAGTTATATATTTGGACTCGACAGATTATGTATCATCGAATTTGGTATTGGTTTCAAATTTTGGGCACGCATGCCAAGGTTGACTTTTGTAGACTTCTTGATAATTTTTCAAAGATCGAAACTTATGGATTGGGATCGCTTGCTATAGCATTGTTTGACTTCCTTGGACGATGTTTGGCTTGAATTTGCGTGCTTGGAGGGCTAGAGTGAGGTTTTGACACAATTTGTGATTGAAGGTAGCCCGAGAAGAGATAAGTCTCTTGGCTAACCTTGTTAAGTTGTAAAACCCTAGAATTTGACTTGATTGCTATGTGTCTAAGGTATTGGGGGTGGTGTATATACGTGGTGGCGAGCGTATATGCACTTACTAAGTTTATATCATGCCCGGGGTAGAATTGTGGTACTTTATTCCTTGTTTTAATTAAATGCTCATCTCTTATTCATATTAGAGATCATGCCTAGGTTTATGATTATTTATGAAGGCATGAGAACTTGTTGTTGATATGTTGAATTACGTGAATCATCCGTTGTCATATAGAGGTTTCATGAGCACATATTCGCATTATTATTATTAAGTCTTATGAATCTTTTATCTATAAATTCTTGGGCATATGCGTGTATATCACATTTGGATACTTGATTCGGATTGAGATTTTGGCACAAAAAGCAAGGTCGTGAAGTTGAAATACAGTTATGGTACATGACATGATGAGCGGATATTTGATTATGAGTGATGCTATTAAGCTCTTCTTTGCGCTTGGATTTCGTATTGTACCTCAGGAGTCAGGTGATTACCCATGTTACTTTGGGCCCTATGAGTGTGGTCGGTACATGAATTTTGTATCGAGTCGATACAAGGATTTCGTATTGGGTTATTATGATACATGAATTTTGCATCAGGCTACATGCATCTTGTATCGGGGTACATCGATCTTGTATCAATTTAAACATGCATTCATATTCTTGACTCATTTGGAATCACCCACTTAGATGCTAATTGTTACATGACATCTATATATGCTAGTTAGGAGTCTCAACTCCGTTGATTGAAGCATGCCTTTCTTTAAGTGCTATATCTGGTTAGCTTTATGATTATCACTTAACTTGGAAAAGCATGCCTTATAATCTTTGGTTGTTCATAACTTTGATACTTGTTACTCATGAGGTTATTTGCCGTTCTGTTCTAGTTTTATTAATATATCTATGTTGCAAGTGTTCGAATGCATGTAGCCTAACCGCTACTTATTCGAGGTTAGACTTGATACTTACTGGGTATCGGCTATGGTGTACTCATATTATGCTTCTGCACATTTTTATGCAGGTTTTGAGATTGGTATTGCAGTACCCTTTGAGCTGAGTAGGAGTGTTGATGAGCTTAAAATTACTTAATGTTTATGCCCACTTTGCGTCTTTGATTTGGTTGATTCGATAGAGATTTGGTCTTATTTGGGTCTAATATGTTGTCTTTCAGTGCGGGTGATGCAAAGGGGATCAATGGACGAATAATGCACTTAGTGGGAGAAAAACAAGTTGAGCAAGATGTAATATCAGGTGCGCGGCCGTGCACGAGCGACCCCCAGTGTGCACTTGAGCGCACAAGTGTTACAGAACTCTGTCAGACGTGCGTGGCCATGAGCCCGGTCATACCCCCAGGTGCGCGGCCGTGCACGTCCATCTCTGGGAATTCGACTCAGGCCTAATTTTGTAATTTTTGGGGCAGCCTTTTGACCTATATGAAGCCCAGCTCATTCCAAAACAAGGGATCTCGGATTTTGGAGCAACTTTTGGAAAGAAAAGGGCAAGAAAACAACGGAGACTCTAAAGACTTTATCCAATTCATTCAATACGGAAGTTTGTTTGATTTTGGGAATTGTAGTACGTTCTTGTTCTTCTAATACTCTTGTGATGAACATTTTCTCCACTATGGAGTAATCTTTCTTAGAGTTATTGACGGATATTGTGATTTGACTATTGTTTTGGGTTTGCTTTCTGTTAGTTGCCTGAATGAGTTATTAATTGAATTTCAAGGTTGATTGTGGTTTTACTTTAATCGGAAGAGAAGTGTTGCTGCAATTTGCATTTTTTTTATCTAGTTTGGGTTGATTTTATGCCTCTCATAGGTAATCGAAAGAGCTTGTAGAGTTATCAATTGATCCAATTTGGAAGAATAGTCGAGAGACGTTCTTCGTAAGATCATTCATTCAATGTAATTTTTCATATGTTCATAGAACTTGTCATTAGGTTGTTTCACAGAACTCTCATTCATTCGGAAGAAGAATTTGAATCCTTAAGATAGCCTAATCATTTGTTGAAATCGAAAGAGTCAATAGAAGTTAAGAGTGAACTTAGCATGGAGTTACCCAGAATAATAGTTGATCATATATCTTGTCACACCCCTTATTTCTCACCTTGATATTCAACCGTTGCTACTTAGTCACTAAATTTCCATTATTTTCTCACAGTCGATAATCTTTGTTTTTATTCTTAGTTCGGTAATAACTCAAATCAAAGGTTTATTTTCTTGAATAAGGTTAAGTTGAAGATTTATTTGGATATTATTTAAACCAATCCCTGTGGAGACGATTTAATACTATACTATCTTTGGCGTGGATTGGCGATTAATATTGTTTAAAATAATTTTCGGTGCTAATTCGGGAACAGTTTTATTTTATTTTCATTTTTTATGCTCTTCTTATCTGTGTACAGGCAACATGTTAAGTTCAATGGTGTATGATTCGATCGTCCTCCAATGAATTGGTGTTATACAATCCAGAATTAGACAAGCACTTGCGGCAGTTGAGAAGGGAGAAAGAATCGAGCGAATCATTATTGGGTCAGACTTCGACTCAAAATATAATGGTGAACAATGAAAAGGACGTGAACCTAGCTGCGAGAGAGGCATCTCAACAACAGGCTGCACGGTTAGCAGCTGAAGTAGCACTTAGAGTTGCTGATGAAACAATTGAAGAGGATCGAAGGTTCAATCTCAATCGAACCATGGTTGAAGATGAATTTGAAAATGCAGCTCCCAGGCCTGGGAGGTCTCTAAAAGATTATGCCAGACCGGTGTACAACCAGCGGCAATCTAGTGTGAGGCCCCCACCTATTGATGCCAACAATTTTGAACTCAAACAGGGAGTCATCCAGACCATTCAGAACAACTGCATATTCAGAGGCAAACCCAATAAAGATCCCAACAACCATCTAATAGACTTCGTGAAATCATGAACACATTTTGCTATAATGGAGCTTCATATGATGCCATCTACCTTAGAGCATTCCCATTCTCACTTAAGGATGATCCAAAGCAGTGGTTAAGGAGTCTACCCACAGGGTCAATCCGTACGTGGGATGAGATGACTATCAAGTTCTTAGAAAAATATTTCTCTGCTGTTAAGACTGGACGGATGAGGAAGGAGATTCATAATTTCAGCCAAGGAGAAGGGGAGACAGTGTTTGAGGCATGGGAAAGATTTAAGGAGCTATTGCGGAGATGCCCTCACAATGGAATGGAGCAATGGATGCAACTCCAAGATTTATGGGACAGGT